ACCCCCTTGGCCCCCATCCCTCCAGAATCCAACCCACAGCTCAGTTGCAAACTCTCGACCATCCAAAATCTTGGGCCGTATGAGATTAATTCTGACCCAAATCTGACATTGCAAACCACTTAAAACTTCTCTAAATAGCTAAATTACATCAAAATATAGAGCACACCGTAATGTCTATTTTAAGCTCTCTAAGAAAAGGAAAATTGCACATTTGCAATTTACAGAACATGCAGGAAAGTAGGGATGCAAAATCAGCCCAGACAACGTCACCAAAACCAGAAAGCTACTAGTAATTATAGCAACTGCACATCCGTTACATCAATCCAGAGAACATCACTTATTCTGCAGCAATTTGACAGATTTATTTTCAATTGGATGCTCTATTTTACCACACATAAAATCCTAACACTGCTTTCCAAATGGTCAGTTGAAGGCAATGAAGGCTATGGGGAATTATTGCCATTAATCATGATCAAATACTCTGGGGAAGTGATGTTATCCAATTGTATTCTGAGGCTGAGTGTCCAAACAAAGATTTTATTTGTACCATGATCACCAATGTTTCCAATTCACTTATGATCAGCTGTTAATTATTCCTTGTTATGAGGAAACATTGTAATGTTGTATAAGAAGACCGTGATATTTAATCTAACGTGAGTATTATTGTTTTATTTAGAACCTTGGTGAAGGGCCAAATAAGAAGTCTGCTACTGATGCTGAAAATACTGTTGTAGAAAAAATATAATGATCCTTGCATTTGATAATAGTTCCTTTCATGTTATGAGGTTGGCCCAAAGCACTTCACTGGATATAATATAAAGTGGAGTCAATTTGCTACCAGCAATGTCCCACAAACAACCATGAAGTGAGTGACTGATTTTATCTGAGCTGTTGTTGGTCAGGACATCAGGAGAAACTCCATTCTCTTTTCAAATAGTGCCATGGGATCTTTAATGTCCACCTGAACAGGAAGGTGGGGGCTTGGTTTAACATCTCAACTGAAGGACAGCACCTCTAGCAATGAAGCACATCCCCAGCACTGCACTGGAGAATCATCTTAGACTATAGGAGTTCTAAGTTCCAATGTGAGGCTTGAACCCACAATCTTTTCACTCAGACGCTAGAGTGCTACCACTGAGCTACACTGACACACTGTAATATGTCAAGCAAAAATACTGTAATATCAAGCGGCTGCCATCACCAAGTTTGAGATTTAAAGACTTATAGATTGTATGAGAGAGCGAAGCTGTGAGGAGAAACAAGAAGTTGCACAATTGAAAGTCGAAGTGAAAAATTAGGAGACAAAATCAAAAAATCATTACACAAACATAGTGAGAAGGAAGAGTTTGAGAACGTAAACTGCATTGAAATAAATTGCGAGCATACAATATAAAGTACTATTATGAAGGCAGCAATAGCAATCAAAAGTAAAGGTGGTAGCTGTTGATTAGCCTTGTGTGAATCAAGCAACTTTGTAATTGAGAAATAAAAATAAACACGATTATTTTTGTCCAATCAATGAGTATGGAAGAAATCAGTAATTATTCCACTGCACTGTGAGAATTAAGTAATGCACATTGTGGGTGTACCAGCACAAGAAAGTGATGAATGTAGAGTAGAATCATCAGTAGGGTTAGATGAAAAGTGAAGATCATTAATATGGATCGAATATAATGCCTATTTATATAGGCATTAGATAAAGTGAGAAAGAGAAAAATCCTGGGGAATCAATGCGGGAAAGAAGGCAATTAATGAATTATCAACTACAACGTAGAGCAATTTGGGAAAGAACTACATAGCCACAACACAATCTGGGTTGAAGACAATGAAATGCTACAGTAATCTGTTGAAAATTGTACAGCAACTGCAATCTTTTTGGCAATTTCCAAGTTGATGACAAATGAGAAATCAAAATGTTCAAGGGGCTTATTTCAGAGATGTGAAAATCATCAGTGGAGTGGTCCATTCTAACAGTTATGGATTCTCTCAGAGCATCCGACATAATGGATAACATGAGAATTGACAACAACTTCCATAACTTCTGAAAGTACAGAGGTCATTTAAAAGACAAGAAGAATTGTTTCGTACAGAAATTCTGAGCCTGAGCTATTACCCCAAAAAGTGGAAAACTGGACAAGGTATAATAGGAACTGAAAAGGTGACACATCATTGGAGCTCTGTGAACAAAATGATTGTGGCTATTACCCTCTCCTGAGAATAATAGGAAAGATGCCATCAGGACAAGAAGCACTCTGGGACACTACACTGTGTGAGGGGAGCTATATAAATGCGAGTTGTTGTTGTTGTAGTCCTTATTTAGATCCAGAGAACTGAAGACTTGAGACAGAACTTGATACAAGTGTTAGGGTAGAACAGAAATTGAGTAATGGAGGAAGGCTCTTTGCCAAGGTCAGCAAAATTAAGAGTTATGGAAGGAAAGCAAGCCAAGTGACTGCTTAGGAGAGCTAGCAAATGAACCTTCAGGGTGTAATGGTAAAATTCACCAAAAATTCCATAGACAAGGAATCTTTGGCAGGAGATCTTAGAGACAATGGAGGACAAGACAACAGTTGGCATTTCTTTTCAATAAATGATCTTTTAGCAGTACCATACAGTGGGCTCACAGTTTTGACAAGCAGAGATAATGTTGGCCTATGAGTCAGCTATTCAAATACTCGTGAACATTATTATTAATTGTTGATCATTATATTCATATTAATCTGCAAGTGCCATTTAAAGCAGGGCGAAATGTTCAGCAAATTTCCTTACTTTCCTTCAGGTTTCCTTACCTAGCAGTAAGCAGGAACCCAGTGGTTAGTCGATTGGCAGATCGCTTTTCCGGAGATAATAATTCCTCAAAAAAAAATAATAATTTGGACACTCAATCCACGACTGTTTGTGGGACACTGCTGTGCGCAATTGGCTGCCGCATTTCACCCACAAATATACAGTCAATTCACTTTACAGTATATTCTGTGAAGCACTCTGAGATGTCTAGAAGACGTGAAAAGCGCTATATCAAATTCAAGGATTATTGTTGTTATGACACTAACTCATTTTTTTCTTACCAAAAAGTGTAAATAAAACAAACTAAAAATAAATAAAATAAATTCCAACCATTTTAACACCAAGTTGTGTATCAATTCCACTTTGAAAATGTTTGTGTGACATTGCTGTGCGCAATTGCTGCCTGTTTTTCCTACAAAATGTACAATCAATCCACTTTACAATATATTTTCTAATGCACTTTGAGATGTCTCATTGACGTGATTAAGGCACTATATCAAATGCAAGGATTATTATAAAATAGTGTACAATTTACATGACATGTTAGCACAGATTTAAAATCCAATACACTAAATTAATTAATGTTATGGTGCTAAATAAATGTAAACTTAAACTCATAACTATAACTTTATTTCCTGTATTGAGTTTGGGTCAGAATAACTAAAATTCATATTCGTAAAATAAAATTGTGCTGCAATTTTTAAACTTTAAATCCAATTGTTTGGACGAATTTGGATTAATTTGAAATGATAGAACCCAACTGAATACATGTTGAGAATTTTTTTTTAAATAAAGTCACCATTTTCTATCCAAGTAATATCCTATAATTCAGAGCAACCCCTCGTCGGTGCCTGGTGAAGATGAAAGGAGCCACTGAAGATAAAGGTCGACAAAATTTTAACAGGCAAACTTTCTCGAAGTGCAAAACAGTAAAATGATTTTAAAGGCCAATAAAGTGGATGAAAGATGAGCACGTAAAGCATCTTGAGACTGACTGGTTAGTGTGCAAGTGGAGGTCTGTCTAGCACGTTAACTGGTGCTTGGCACTTTCAAAGCAACCTCCCTACCTGTGTGGACCGATCCAGCTGGAAAAATCAAACCATGCAATGCAGCGTTGCACCAGGTTACAGTCCTGATTCCCAAACCTTCGCTCATAATATGTCCCTGCAAACAATACGCCGATCTCAACGTGGGATCCGATTCACAACTTGGTGTGAAAAGGGGTTGGGATGTTTTTCTTGGCAGCAACATGTTAACATCTTGGCCTCACGTTCGCTGCGTCCACGTCTAAAAGTAATCTGTGCACATAATTGTGTGGGCGGGTTCATCAACCGCATTTCGAATTAATACACAGCTTACAGTTGTCTATAGTCTGTCTCGGTCGTTCGATACACTGTTTGATAACTGCTAATATTTGCTTTTACATAAATAAATAAATAATCCTTGCATTTGATATAGCGCTTTTCACGTCGGGAGGACGTCCCAAAGCGCTTCACAGAACACACTGTAAAGTGAATTGACTGTATATTTGTGGGCGAACGCGGCAGCCAATTGCGCACAGCAATGTCCCACAAACAGTCATAGATTGAAAATGACCAATTTATTATTGTTTTTGGTTTTTGGAGGGATTATTATTTTACAGAAATCCCACGAAAAAGGGTAGATCCCCGAGCTGTGGGCAATCCAGTCTTGACCCCAACCCCACCCCCCCCCCACCCTCAGACGTTTAATCCTCTGCAGAAAACTCCGTGCCCATCTCTTCGCTATTCGGTTTCAACCCTGAACGGATTTAGGGGATTTTTTTTTCAAAAAATAATAATAAGGCAATAAATGTGAAACCTGCCCTGTTACGTTCACTCAGGCGTCTGGAGTGAACGTAACAGGGCAGGTTTCAGATGTTTTACCGTCACGGGATGACTAAACGGTTATCGTTACCCACAGCGCCTTGGGACGTCCTCCCGACGTGAAAGGCGCTCTCTGAATGGAATCTTGTTGTTGTTGTTGTTGCTGTCACTCTCGAACCTTTCGATGGTCGAAACCACTGATTTTGCAAAAGTTGGTCTAAATAGTGCTGCCTCGGGTGGCGATATTTTTGGCCAAAGCTAACGTCAGCCAAATCGTGCAACAACAACAACAACAACGACGACGACGACGACGACAACAGCAAGAAGCAGCAAACGATGGATATTATCAGTAAAAGGCGTTTTACTCACCACTGGTACTCATCTTCGACTCGATGTGTTTGTGGTCGGTTTCCAAACGGTAACTGTAAGGCTATTGAGAGCAGCTTTCACGCCCCTCACCTCACCCCCTCCCGACAGGAGTGTTTGCACGCAACGCAAATCAACCTGTTGCAGAGCTCAATGCGCAAAAAAAAAACACGCACGTTAAAAGCCGGGAGTCGGGAGAGCGGAGTCCACCCTCACTGACCGCACCGAAATAACATGGTCCTGGGGACGGGATCCGGGAGTGGGAGTGGGAGAAGGGGTTGGGCTGGTAATCTGTGTGTGTGTCTATGTGTGTGTGTGTGTGAGTGCAATGCGATTAGTCCTCTCTCGTTGCTGGAGTCAGATGATATGATGGACACGAGCTGTCAGTCAGTCAGTCAGTCAGTGTTGAGTGCACTGCTCCTCTCTCTCTCTCTCTCTCTCTGGTCCTCTCTCTCTCTCTGGTCCTCTCTCTCTCTCTGGTCCTGTCTCTCTCTCTGGTCCTGTCTCTCTCTCTCTCTCTCTCTGGTCCTGTCTCTCTCTCTGGTCCTGTCTGTCTCTCTCTCTCTCTCTCTCTCTGGTCCAGTGTCTCTCTCTCTCTCTCTCTGGTCCAGTGTCTCTCTCTCTCTCTCTCTCTCTGGTCCTCTCTCTCTCTCTCTCTCTGGTCCTGTCTCTCTCTCTCTCTCTCTCTCTGCTCCTCTCTCTCTCCCTCTCTCCTCTCAGCCTCTGGTCTCTGGTCTCCTGCAGCCGCCGCAGCGCCGCTCTCCCACTCCCCGAACCCCACCCCCCGAGTCCGCACTGGCGGCGCAGGCGCCTGTGCGGCTTCGGGTAGAGGAGGAGATTGCGGAGAATCGGCCCCTTACAGTCTCTCCCGCTCCGCCCTCCGCTCCCTCCCGGTGTGTGGCCCCCGCAAGAGCCGTCAGGTGGGCGCGGCGCGGCGCGGCGCTGCAGCCCGGGGTCGGCTCGGCTCGGCTCGGCTCGCGGTGCCGGTGCCGCGGGGAACGGTCAGCGCCGCGTGTGCGTGTGTGTGTGTGTGTGCGGTTTGACGGTGACGCGCGGTGCGGGTGCGGTCCCGGTGCGGGTGCGGTGCCGGTGCCGAGGCGCTAAAGCGCTTGTGGGTGAATGACACGCGGGAGGTGTTGCATTGGCGGCGGCTGCAAAGGACCGGGACTGGAGGCGGTGCAGTTGATCCTCTCTCGGCAATTGATTTGGGATTAAAAGTGCGGGTGACAGGATTCCGGCCCTCACTCCGGACCTCACTCCGGACCCCTCACTCCGGACCTCACTCCGGACCCCTCACTCCGGACCTCACTCCGGCCCTCACTCCGGACCTCACTCCGGACCCCTCACTAAGGACCTCACTCCGGACCCCTCACTCCGGACCTCACTCCGGACCCCTCACTCCGGACCCCTCACGCAGGACCCCTCACTCAGGACCCCTCACGCAGGACCCCTCACGCAGGACCTCACTCCGGACCCCTCACTCAGGACCTCACTCCGGACCCCTCACTCCGGACCTCACTCCGGACCCCTCACGCAGGACCCCTCACGCAGGACCTCACTCCGGACCCCTCACTCCGGACCTCACTCCGGACCCCTCACTCCGGACCCCTCACTCCGGACCCCTCACTCCGGACCTCACTCCGGACCCCTCACTCCGGACCCCTCACTCCGGACCCCTCACTCCGGACCTCACTCCGGACCCCTCACTCCGGACCGGACAGCACCGAGAACCGCTTCATCATCGCGGGAGCGATAAGGGCGACAGCGCTCAAAACACTGTAGGACTCGGATGTGCAGTGGTCACAGTGATGGATGTTACCAGTGAACGACGTTATAGATAAACGGTTTAAGGTTTTTCCCAAATCATAACAAACATCATAATTCAAAATGCCAATGTACACAACCAGGTACGTGCAAACTACAGTGTCGAATAAAACATGTTCCCATCCTATGAATCTGTGGCATGTGGTTGTGTCTGTCTCATTTGTATTCCATATTAATCTATTAGACCTTTCACCCCCCAAAAAAAAAAGTTGATTGACTTCATAGGGCAGTGCATTTGCTTAAGAACTATCTATGGTTTTCTATAATGCAAATCAAATAAACAATTTTGTTTATGTTGGACTTGTGGCCGGATACTGGATGAATAAAAGAAACTGCTGGAAATAATAATAATGATAATAATAATCCTGGCATTTGATATAGCGCTTTTCGCGTCTTCGAGACGTCCCAAAGCGCTTCACAGAATAATGGGAGCCTGGCAAAAAAATAAACAGCCAACGACTTACATTTATATAGCGTCCTCCATGAAGGGTAAAGGCTCTCTGAGTGTTTCAATGACGTTGGGTGTGAGGTAGAAAGGCAGAGGTGGGTGATGTGGCAGAGGTGAAAGGCAGTTTTGCTGAGGGATTGGATATGAGGCTGAAAGGAAAGCTGAGGATCCAAACAGACTGGTTCGGAATCTTTGAGAGCGTGGTCAGGGAGGTTTAGGAGATTTTCTTATAAGAGAAAGGCATTGTTTTATGTATGATTGAAAAACTTTTTGTTAGCTTGCAACCAAAACGTTATTTCCCAGAGAAAGATACAAGAAATACTTGCATATAAATATATATATATATCGTCTATAAATCACAAGTAATATTGGGGTGAAAATTCAACATTTTGTACTGATATTTTGTATTACGTTGTTGATTCCCGAAAAGTGATTTAATTGTTCCAGAAGTAAATTTTATGAAATTAATTTGAATGAAATGGTCCTATTTGTTTCGACAACATAATTACACTTATGAAAAATACAATGATATGAAGTGTATTGTTATAATAAAGCTCTTTATAAATAAAGCTTCTTGCCATACGATTTTGCTTATTTTAGGAATTGCAGGCCTGGCTCCAGGGGTAAGTTCAAGTACAGTTACAACACATTATCAGTCCAGCTGAGTATTGCTGCATCTTTTTCAATGATTCAAAGTGTGATTCAAATATTCTTCAGTGGCATACAATGTGCTCCATTCTCTTATTGTGCTACTGAAACGGGCGTGTGATTTTCAACTATGCGGGGAGTGGCATTTCTGGGTGATTTTAGAGTGTTAAAGTGACAGTTCACTGTACATTGTTCATTGCTAGGACTGCATCTCATTCTCTTAAAATAAGTGGTGCTAAGTGCTGCTATGTTTGAGGGTCTTGGAACTTAAAAATAAATTATTGTGGGAAGTATATTGAGATATTTTGATTTGATAAAAGACTGCAAATCTAACCATCATTTTTATAGCAGTATTTTATAAGATTAATATCCTTTGCATTTGATATAGCAGCTTATCATGTAGTCAAGGCGTCTCAAAGGACTTCACAGGATATACTGTAGAGTGGATTGACTGGGTATTTTGTGGTGAAATGCGGCAGCCAATTTGCACACAGCAATGTCCAACAAATAGCCGTGAAAGGTTGTTTTGCTGTAGCCATAACCTTTGTACGTTTTGACTATTTTCTGGAGCATGCTGTTCTTCAATTATGATCAAACATTTTCCTTACGTTTTCCGGTATGAATATAGATCAGTAGGCATCTGTGGGGTTTCCGGATTCCTTGATTATGGTTGTCCATAACCATTATTGTCAAGTGAAGTGAAGAATGTCAAGACATTATAGAAGCAGTGGGAGCATTCATAAGAGATCCTCTATTTATGGCATACACAAGTGAGGGCTCCACTCCAGATTCAACTGGCATTATATTGCCACATCCGCAATTCCAGGCCAGGCAATTTGAACTTATAAATCATGTTAACAGTATTCTTTGCATAATGTGAGTTCTTCATTCAGTTCAGTCACTAGTTCATTGCAGAAATTTTGAGTAACTGAAAAAAAATTAGGAAACTGTAATTGGCTAAGCTGCCAACTGATACTTGGTTTGGGTTCTTTTAGGGATTTTGATGATCAATTAAGTCAGTTAAGACTGAATGTAAACAGACATCACATCTGTTGGAAAATAACGAACTGAATAATACTCAAAAATGGGGAGTAGCGCACAGTATAGGGACTCCCATTTTGCTTCCTATCTAAAGCACTGCAGTTGGTCATTGTTTAGGAAATCTTGGGAGATTCATGGCCAAATTAGGTCAATGGTGAAAGTTAGATAATCGACAAATGTATTAGCATAGTAACTTCAGTCCTTAAAAAGTAATTATATCCACAATGATGTACATGGTTCTAAATCATGGATGTTACAGGTTGTAAATTGGTGCTTTAAAATGTGGGATAATTCTGATGCCCTCTGTGCCATGGACGTTGCCAGGAATAGATACATGCTGAACAGAGTGGAGAAATGTTAATGAGGAGTTACAGGATTATCATACCAAGATTGGCTTAAAAAAGGGCTAAAACATCACTGAACATTGATTGATTGGCCTAAAGGCTTTGGATGCTTTTGTAACATAAATAATAATTTTTTAAAAATTCTGCTTTCTATAACACTTTTTATAATTGGCAGTATTTTGCATTCTCTGCTGATTTTGTTTACAAAAAGTCAAATGTTTTTGTGAATTGTTGCAATAAAACATAACATAGGTCAATGAAATGAACATAAGAGTTCCTAATGGAATTTTTGTCTCTAGCTATCTAAACCATAATGACATTGTCACGGCTATAATACTTGTCAGCTGTTTCCAGCAAAACTACTGATTAATATTTCATTTCTTCGCCACAAAAATAGAATCATATAAATGCAATTGGTCTATTTAAGCAGAAACTCATCAATGTATTTAAGAGGAAACTTGATTCATACGTAAGCGAGAAGTGAATAGAGGGATATAGGAGAGGGTATTAGGATGGCTAGAGGCTCATGCTGAGTATAAGCACTGACACAGACTAGTTGGCCTAATTGGCATATTTCCATGCTGTATCATTCTATGTAATTCTATGTAATTTAATTGAAGAATTCAGATGAAACTAATGAAAGGTTGGCCATCGATGTGGATATGGATGTGTGTGTGTATATAGAGGGTGAAGCTTCGGTGGGAGATGAGGACAGAAAGATTGATGTAGATGGGACAAATTGAGGTTAACATTGTCCAAAACAAATATGTGTTTGCTGTATGTTGTATGTTGCCAGTAGATGATGAAGATCTTAAAGGAAAATTGGGAGGAATTTCAGAAATTGAGATCTTCAAATGAGGAGAAAGATCTATAGGAGTAAGGGGACAGAATAACAGGGGATTTAGAATGAAAGCAATGCCACTGCCACAGTGATTGGGGTGGAGGGTACAGTGTAATGACCCTGGAAAGTAGTGTTGTGGGTCATCCAAGTTTCAGTGAAGCCTGGGATAAGGGTGTTTTTGTGGGGAATAGACTACGTTTCTGGGGGAGATGGGAGAAGGAGAGTGAACAAATAGGGCTGAGTGAGAAATAATTCACTTTAAGGGCCTTGTGGCATGA